TCACTTGTTTTCCTCACCCTGGGAAATTTTTGGGTGGGGGCACTTCACCCCCAAATATTTCCCAGCAAGGAGGGCTGGTGGGGAAATTCTGGGAGTTGAAGTCCACCCATCTTAAAGTTCCCAAGGTTGAGAAACACTGCTATATAGTAACAGAAGCTGAAACAAGCATTATCGATAGTGTTTTCTGTATTAGCAGTTCTTACTGCGAGATAGTTATCTGTGATCTAAATATAGGTATTCCTTAGAACACGAATGACTTTCAGATGTCCCACCATCCTTGACAGATGTTAGCACTAGCAGTATTGCCTCCTCAAATACCTACATATATGCAAAATAAGAGACGGGGAAGCTGTTGTCTTCTGGATGTTACTATATTCCAACATTAAGCCAGCACATCCAAGGTGTAGACATTATTCTAATCCATAATCCAGTGTAGGCCACTTTCTGGATTGCAGCCTCCAAAACATTGCTGTACGTACTCATATATAAGCCCATCTGCAGATAAGCTGACCCTCAAACTTTTAACCAAAATACCATGAAAATGTGCCACCCGCAGATAAGCCGACCCTTGAAATTTTTGTGTGTTAATTTTCACAATTGGCTTATCTGCATGTGATGTATTTCATATTATTTTGGTTAAAAATTCAAGGGTCAGCTTACCTGCAGATGGTCTTATACACAAGTATGTATGGGATATAAGGGTACTTTATTACCATATATACTCACCAATAAGCCCAACACAATATTTTGGCTGTATTTTGGCACCTAAAATTCTCATTTATCCATGAGTATATATGGTACTCTAAGATCAAGTATTTTAGGTCTTCAACCTAACAAAGGCTGCATATCCTTGATCTACAGTTTCTCCAGATGTTGCGAACACTATTCACAAGCATACATTTCAGTTCCTCTTTGTTCTCTCAAGTCCAGTGAAACTGGAGACCTTATGTTGCCATCTGCATGTTCAACTGGAATAGATGACATTTTTTATCAAAACAAATTCTAGGTTGCATTTTTTATAGAGCATATTTGGGTCTTGGAGAAGAATCTGCAGATGTGGTGCAATTCTTGATGTTACTGTCAGATAAATAAAAAACTAGGACCCTGCCCCTCCCTTTCACTGGGGAAACTGCTCCAAAGCTCTCCCAGCATCAGTCATAATCATCGAGCAAAAGAAAGTGCCTTTGTTCACATAACATGGTTGCATCAGGCCTAAGACAACATATAATTTGTTGGTTTTTTCCCACTTCTGAACACAACTTGTATTCCTTGTTATAGGAGAACTACAGGAGAGAAAACTTTTAGGTTAGCATATTAGAAGGCAAGCTTTCTTTCACCGAGCCCTTCACATAGAACAATAATGAAAAAGAGACAGCTGCCAGGAATAGGCGCCATGTGTTTGAATGTGTCCAGCTATTTTCAAATTACGAGAACTGCAAAACTTAAAAACTTGCTTACTCCTGGGTCCAGAAATGATAAGAGGTGAAAAGAAGAAGCAGCTTAGGTAAAGGTCCTGCTGTTCATCATTAGTTCAAAATCTTTAATAATTAAACCTAAGAAAAATAAACTGTGTTTTTATTGCTGTAGCTCTATCTCCTGCTTGATATTACCTCTTTGTGTTTAATACTGTAATGCCATCTACCTCAGGCAATATCATCACAGTGCATGTTAGTCATCAGGACAACTTTGAAGGCATCTGTATCCTGAAAATTAATTAAAATGTTTTACTAAAATACTGACATCTTTTAAGATTAGACTATTGCCTGATCTAAGTCACTCTGAGAATATCTGAGTGGACTAGACACTTTTTGACATGAAAACTCTTAGCTCCAAGCAGCTGAGAACAAGACATAAATATTCCTCTGGAATCAGCAGCAACCACCTACTGTACTGTATGCCAAAGAAGTAATTTATTGGCAAAATAGTTCTGCAAATTCAGAGCTCTCCTTTGCATTTTTCAATATGGTAACTCATTCAGCAACTAAAAATATTTGGAAGAGAACATTTCCCTAATTTTTCTGTGGCTGGATGCTCATCCCCTTCCTATCCACCTAGGAGGTATCATTATTCCATCGAGAAAACACTAAGTACGCTTATCTTCACACAACAATATATAATCTGGACATTAAGAACGCATAAATCCTAATAATAATAGGACCTGGGTTGCTTTGACACTATCACACATACACACAAGGATTGATGGTTAAAAAAATGTAGTTCCATGGCTGTTGGAACAGCTTTAAAAAAAACAAACCAACCAGAAACGCCCACTTTAAAATACCTTCTGTAGCCAGATTATACCAGCTGGTTACAAGTGAGCTTTTTACCTAGAAATTTCCCTCCTATGACACTTTTTGATAAGCTCTTTTTCACTTTCAGTCATTTGTATGTCACCTATTCAAGCAACTCTAGTGTACACGATATACACCTGAGCCTCTTTCCAGAAGGAGCAAAGTTTTCTTCCACAACTACAGGAACTTTTCCTTGTGTGGAAGGTCTTCTGCTGGATTTTAAGGCAGCCATATCCACTTGATTGGGCAGCCAGCATTTACTGAATTCAGGCAAGCGCTTCGCATACTTTTTCACTGCCTGTTTCTCTCAGGGGGGAAGTTAAGTCCAAGATTATGAAGTGTCTGGTTGAAAAAAGGAGGAGGAGGAGCCACCAGTATAGTGCGGGAAGTACAGCAGTCATCTGGGAGGAGAAGCTGGTGGAGGTGGAGGTGAAGCTGCAAGCGAAACATCACTTGTTGCTGCACCTGGAGCTTTTTCATCAGATGTTCCTCTAGAACCTATCAAGAGGTTGGGTGGGAAGAGAAGGAATGGTATTATAAATAATTTCTAAGTCAACTTACTTATAATCCTTATTTTACTTCATCCTTGACTTCCTTTCCATCCTCGTTACATCATTCCCAACCTAATGTTTCCAGATGAGTTAGATTTCAGTATCATAGGCTTCCAACCCACAGGGTCTTTAGCTGAATCAGATGATGAAATCTGAACTCCCAACACCTCAGTAAAGTAACAGGTTGATAGACTGCTTAACTCAAGGTTAGGTAACAATCCTACTTTATGTTTATCACAAAAACAAGAAGTACATTAAGCTAAGGAATAGCGATCTAGGTCTAGAGCAGGGTTTCTCAACCTTATCAACTTTAAGATATGTGGACTTCAACTCCCAGAATTCTCCAGCCAGCATGCTGGCTGGGGAATTCTGGGAGTTGAAGTCCACATATCTTAACGTTGATAAGGTTGAGAATCCCTGGTCTAGAGCCAGATACAGTGGGGCAAAAAAGTATTTAGTCAGCCACCAATTGTGCAAGTTCTCCCACTTAAAAAGATGAGAGAGGCCTGTAATTTTCATCATAGTTATGCCTCAACTATGAGAGTCAAAATGGGGGAAAAAATCCAGAAAATCACATTGTCTGATTTTTAAAGAATTTATTTGCAAATCATGGTGGAAAATAAGTATTTGGTCAATATCACGTTGATAAGGTTGAGAATCCCTGGTCTAGAGCCAGATACAGTGGGGCAAAAAAGTATTTAGTCAGCCACCAATTGTGCAAGTTCTCCCACTTAAAAAGATGAGAGAGGCCTGTAATTTTCATCATAGTTATGCCTCAACTATGAGAGTCAAAATGGGGGAAAAAATCCAGAAAATCACATTGTCTGATTTTTAAAGAATTTATTTGCAAATCATGGTGGAAAATAAGTATTTGGTCAATATCACGTTGATAAGGTTGAGAATCCCTGGTCTAGAGCCAGATACAGTGGGGCAAAAAAGTATTTAGTCAGCCACCAATTGTGCAAGTTCTCCCACTTAAAAAGATGAGAGAGGCCTGTAATTTTCATCATAGTTATGCCTCAACTATGAGAGTCAAAATGGGGGAAAAAATCCAGAAAATCACATTGTCTGATTTTTAAAGAATTTATTTGCAAATCATGGTGGAAAATAAGTATTTGGTCAATATCACGTTGATAAGGTTGAGAATCCCTGGTCTAGAGCCAGATACAGTGGGGCAAAAAAGTATTTAGTCAGCCACCAATTGTGCAAGTTCTCCCACTTAAAAAGATGAGAGAGGCCTGTAATTTTCATCATAGGTATACCTCAACTATGAGTCTTTTTAAGTGGGAGAACTTGCACAATTGGTGGCTGACTAAATACTTTTTTGCCCCACTGTATCTTCATAGAGCAGGGAGAACTCTCAGGCCTCCAAGCATAGTATTTCATTTACTTTGGTCCAAGTGATATCATAAATTACGTAATCAAGATTTTGGGGAGAAAGACTTGTACTTTTTTCACTAATTAACAGCCCCACAGGTGCTCTGAATGTCAGGGAAATGACCATCTGACACCATCATTCATCCTGATAAACCAACAGCAGCTTGATGGGTAAAAGGCGAAATGTTAGAGAACATCAATAATCCTGCCATCAAAGCTATTGTAAAGGACTGCTATTTAGACCTGAGTATTAAACTGCTTCAGATTAAAGCTGTGGAAGGGCTGTCTTTTCCTCTGTGAATCCATCCAAATACATTATTATCAGAAATTAGCTTGCCAAGCACTAGGATTGTTTCACACAGAAATGGGCCCCCACTTGAAGCCTTCCCCAGAAGCACATCTTTCATTCATGCTGTTCACTTAGAACATATGTCTTTTCCCATGCTTTCCCTGGTTAGTTTTGCTGATCTTTTAAATTGTCTGCTCAGTTTACTACTAATAATGTTATTGAACAATGCTTTGGCACACACACACTCTTGTGTGTATGTGTGCCAAAGAGAGAGAGAATTAGCTGATTTGAATCCAGATACACTCTTGATCAGAGGGTTCCTATTATAACTACTTCTATATCTGACTTGAATTATTCCCACTGTCGAAGACAGAAAAAATCAAGGTAAACCCCTAGTGTATATTCAATACTATCAGTATAATTAACTTCTAAGGAGATCACAAGAATGAGTTCACCAAATCTGTGATATTTCAGCAACTTCATCACCAAGATGTTACCCAATTTCATATAAGAATGATTCCATAAGAATCTTGCTAATTCTTATGGAAAATATCATAGGATGTCAGGCAAGAACACTGAAATCTCAGAAATGGGCTATTTCTTTATATATACACACACAATAGAGGTATGTTTATTTAGATTCTGCAAATGCCATCTGGGGTTACAAAGACATCCTGTTACTTGTAGGCACTCTATGGTATGTTAGGTCTACATATCTCAAACTCCAGGAGCAGCATCTATTCTGCAGTTTAGTACCTGTGTCCGAGGCAGAACATTCTCAGCAGACAAGAGAAAAGGTTCTCCAAGAACCGTTCCCACCCGAGAAGAATACACATGATCCCCTAGCACCGGGCTGAGGATCAACGTCAGGTGTACCAAGAGCTGGTTCCGAAAGGCTGCCATAGAGAATACAATACAGGAGAAGAAGAAGAAGGACATCGAGAGCTGGCTATTCCCACCAAGAAACATCAGCTCCACCCCTCATGCTTTGGCATGACTTTCTAAGCTTTTTTAAAAGATTTAAAATAGAATTAACATACAACATCCAAGAATAAAGATAAAATAAGAACAACACAACTTCCCAATTCTGTTCCCATCCTCTGCCCAAAAATATATTCTACACTTGGGGAAAAAAGGACTCAAAAGACCAAGGCTATAATTACATTTTTCCCAGGATGCATTTTGCAAAGTGTTTGGAAATAGGCTGAGAAACAACAAAGTGATAGAATATGGATAAAAACAGAGGAAGAAGAATTAGAACAGGTAATTTGAGGTTGAATTGTAAGAGAAAAGGCACAGAAAGAGCATTAAATGAAAGAAAGACAACAGAAGCTAAGAGGTACAAGAGAAAAAACAAAAGTCAACTTGCCATAGAAGCTCCATCCCCCTTAAATGAGGACACTGTCAAATCCCAGCAGAAAGACATAGCAGGTGGTGGTGGCAACATCTAGCTACAGGCAGGTACTCCTTATTTACCAACAGTAATTAGGACCAGGAACTCTGTCACTAAGTGATGCGGTTGTAAGATGCAACGTCATACTTAGCAGTTCTGGTTGCCATCATTTGGCATATCCCACATGATCGTAGCATTCCGCAGTCACGCGATCGCCATTTGTGACCCCCTGGTGGCTTCCCCATTGACTTTACTTGTCGGAAGCCGGCAGGGAAGGTCGCAAATGGTAATCGTGATTGTGGGATGCTGCGGTTCTCGTAACTGTGAGCTGGTTGCCGAGCGCCCAAATCACAATCATGCAACTGTAGGGATGTGGCAACGGCACAACTACAAGGACCCATTGTAAGTACCCATCATTCAGTGCTGTTGTAACTTCAAACAGTCGCTGAACGAGTGGACGTTAAATGAGGACTACTTGTAATTGCACTTTTCAGGAGAGTTGAACTGTCCACTTTGGGCTGTTGTCAATTGTCCCTTAGGCCTCCTCTGCTTCACAGAGCCTTTGTAACTCACTTGTCACTGGCTGCAGCTGCAACAAGGCACAGCCTTCATTTGAGTCTAGCACTTTGTAGTACGTCAGTGTCTTTTTTACCTCCTTTCTTTGGAGGCTCTTATGAGAAGGGGAAGCCACTGGCACCACCTGTAATCCAAACAAAGGTCAGCATTAGCACACTCTCTGGGCGCCTAGTAACACCTAACTAAATCTTTGCCTGTGGCAGGTAGTGCAATCCCAAATAGGTGATACTGGGATTCTTCTGAATCTGTAACCCTTCCTGTCCAGAACAGCAGCTACAAGCCTTCCAGAACCACAATCTAAAGCCCCGCCACCCTCCCCCATTATCCCTGTCCTTACCAGGTCAAAACCATCAATATTCACCAGCTTGAGGCCTGTATGAATTTCCCCTTCCATAGCTACTGGAGTCCTGGTAGTAACAGCGCTGCAAAGAGAAGGATGTCAGGCAATGCTTTGGGAACAATGGGGAAGGTATATGAGAAAAATAAAATGTTCCTTTAGGGAAGCTTCCCTTAACTGGTGCTCTCCAGATACTTGGACTGCAACTTTTCCAACTGAGGAAACTAGTGATTCCACACTTTCGCTTCATCCCCCAAATAGGAAAATTAAAGAAAATGTTTTCTCACCAGTAAGTAGCAACTGGATGTTTTTTATTCTTACACCCAATATAAAAATCTTGGAGATACCGGGTGGTGTTTGGGCAGCTTGACAGCAGAACAAGTCCAGAATATTCCCTAGAGAAATGCAAAGTCTTTTAAAAAATATCCACCCGCTCTTTAACTGGATCTATTAATAAATCCCATCCAATACACAAACTACTAAGGATTTGTTTGTTCACACTACTGGTTTCAGCAACCACAAAATTGCTCTCTGAACAATTCCTTTCCATTGCTAAACTAAAAGCCTAATTCCAGGAAAATCACAACTGCTATTAACCCAGCCCTGTGAACACAGCCGTAATATTCTTGTTTTAATATTTCAGTCATTGCCCTCTTGCTGATTATTTAAGGGCATCGTATGATGGCCTATAAAGAAGCATCATTCTTGAAATTAAGCAGGTCTGGAGGCTAGATCTGGTTAATTTCATGATAGAAGATAGGTAGTATGTGGATATATTAAATCATGATACCCTACTCTATATAGCCTATGTTCTATCATTTGCACATTTTCCCCTGGAACTAGAATTCAGCTACTTACTTTTCTGGAGCTTTGATCACCTGGAGATTTTGTGGGAGATTTAGTTTCTGGCTTAGCTGTGGTAGAACAGATTGCAAAGTCAAGTCCTCTGACTTGCCTGTTGGAGGAAGAGAGAGCCTATCAATGCCATACATTCCAACCAAATCTCATTTACTACTCCTTCGCTTGTAAGAGATCTTTGCCCATAACCGGCAGAGGTCTGCTTGTCCTCCAGATTAAAACTAGTATCAGTTCCCAATTTAGTCCCCAAGAGAAAACCTATTATCCTCACATTCCTCCTAAATAATTTGCAGAACAGTGCTAAACAGCCTGCAGGCAAATGCTTTCATTGATTTATAAAGAAAATCTCACCATTTCATTTATAAGAAAGGTTTCCAAGGCAGCTACCCCATACCCCATCCAACCACAGGACTGCATACCTGTTACAGGGATACCACAAGGTTTGCTAATGGCCACAAGTGTACCTGAAATACAAAATTGTAAGGACAAGTGGCAATAGGTTCAAAACAATTCCAGAACATACTTACCGACTCCTCCACAATTCAGAACAATGGTATGGTAGGATTTTATAAGTCAAGGGTTATGGTGGGGTTGGCTTTTTGTGGGAGGAGTGTACAGCAGGGCTACCTCATTACAGGTAGTCCCCGGGTTAAGAATGCCCAGTTTGAGACGACCCATAGTTAAGAACAGAGCCTATTGTAGCAAAATTCAAGTTAAATACACCATGATTTGAGTTCATTACACAATACTACTTATTGGCTTACATACAAATTTGACTTAAGGACAGACCTTGGGAACGGAACTAATTCTTAAACTGGGGACTACCTGTACGCTTCACAGTTCATTCCTTTCTTCCCATTCTCTTTTAAATTCAGGGGAAGGAAAGAGACAGAGAATATATAGACACTTGAAAGAAAAACATACAGAGTAACTCAAATTATAGTCTGCCGGTTTCTATATGGGTAGTCCTCGTTTAGTGACCACAATTGGAACTGGCAGCTTGGTTGTTAAGCAAAGCAGTCGCTAAGTGAAATCGCAACTATGCTTATGAATTTACTTCAGCATTCCTCTGCTTTACAGACCTATGAAGGTAAAAAATGCGAGGATTGGTCATAAAGTTACTTTTTCATCACCTTCGTAACTGCAAATCATGGACTACCTGTATCTGCAAAAAGGATTCCATTGCAAAGTTTAGAATCCTGCAAGTCCAAGTATACATACACAAGATTCAACATGCTAAACTATGGTTTGCTCGCCCATATCATTTTTGAATAAACCATACTGGCTGAGATCACGCAACATAGTAAGCCAAGATCAAGCCACATTATAGCTTAACATGTTTAAACCAGGTCATACCCCTCCAATATTCTAAAACAGACCTGTGCTCCACCAAGCAGGAAGAAGCTTGCTAACCAGGTACAGTACCCATTAGAAGCTCAATAAAGCTCCAGTTTACCCACTGGAGCCAAGCAGATGTCTCTGGGAAAATGACAAGCTCGGTGTGAAGGCAAACATTTTCTATTGCAGCTTCTTAGCTGCTGGGTATTAATTTGGGATATGGCATGAAGGTTCTGTAAATTGTCTCCTGCCCACCCGAATCTCCTGCCATTTGGTTTCATCGTTTGCCCATAAACTCCAGTACAAGGGTGATCAACCAGGCCTTCCAAATGTTGCTGGGGTCTACTTACCATAAAGCCCAGCTGGCACAGTGAACCATGGATGATAGGAATTTGAGTTCAGCAACATCTGCAGGGTCCCCCACCACTGACTCAAGAATTATGAGATAAGATACATACCATCTGCATGTACTATAGATGCTTCCAGTAGTTTCAACAGTGACTTAGGCTCCAGTGATTTTAAGGGCTTCAAGAAGCTTGTTTTATAGGGTATTTCTCCCACTGATTTCTCCAATTTTTTTTGCTTCAGCAAGTGATACCTAAGCCAAATGAAAACTATTTAAAAAAAACCCTTGCACTCTATAGCCAGCAAGCTACCATCTTCATATTACAGGTAATCCTCGCTTAACGACCATTTGTTCAGCAACTGTTCAAAGTTACAACGGTGCTGAACAAATGGTAGTTACGACCAGGCCTCAAAGTTATGGCTGTTGCAGCGCCCCCACAGTCACGTGAACAAAATTCAGGTGCTTGGCAGCCCATATTTACAACTGCAGGGTGCACTTCAACTTCCCCCCACCCGTGTATCTCCTCCCCATCTCTGCCCTTTTGACTGTCCTGCACTCTGCCCCCCCCCTTGCTGTCTTCTTCCTCCTGCTCTGACAAGGTGCCAGCAAAGGCCTCATGAAGGTCCAGCAGCTGCCTTGGCTGGCTGTGCCTCATTAGCAGCTGAAGAAGGAGACGGCAAAGGCCAGCTGGGGTCAATGGGGTGCAGGGCGGCCAAAATGGCAGAGATGTGGGGGAGATATATGCGTGGAGGGAGTTGAAGTGGAGGTGAGCATGCCAGGGCAGGAGAAGTGTGATGTCCTCATCTAACAATGGTGTGGTCCTTGCCTAACAACTGCAACCGGGACTACCAGAACTGCCTTCGCTAAGTGGTGCAGTCACATGATGTTTTGCCTAACGACCACTTCACTTAGCGATGGAAATTCTGGTCCCAATTAGGGTCATTAAGCAAGGATTACCTGTAATTGCAATGTGGTTTGTTACAGATGAATATCTTACCATCACTAGATATTCTAGGCAGTTAAAGACTAGAATTATGCTCATCAAAAGATTCACAAAATGTAATGAGGGGGAAACCTGTGGCACTCCAGATGTTGCTGAGCTGTCAGCCAGCACAGTGAGTTGCTTGGAACTGCAGATCAGCAACATCCAAAGAGCCATAATTTCCTTAATTATACATAAAAGATCAAGTGAATGGATGCCCAGAGGAGGAAAGGCATTTTAATGTGAATACCATCAATGGACAAGGATCATTCCATGCTAATTTTGAAGCATGGTTGGTGTCACTGACTTCCTCTGTCTCCAGATTATCACAGGGCAAGTAGGTGTTTTACATGCAGTGTGGCTGGAGAGAGAGCTCTCTAAATCTGTTGACGTGAACAGATTTTAGAAACATCCATGCTTAGAACTGGAAGCCTAGATAAATACACATGGATTTGCTATTCTCCCTCCAATTTCAAACCAGGTGATAGGAGTGGACTGTATACAAATGAAGCAGCCACTCCCCCACTTCTGCTAATCATAACTCTCTTCTAACACTCCCCTTATTCTCTCAAGTCTCAGTCCTTTTCAGATCCCCCTGGGTTATCCCCCTTATTTTGCATTTTCTCAGAAATATGCTGAAATACCGCTAAAGCCATTCAATACTTTCCTGGCTGAACTCCCATCAATTTTCATTCCTGAGTTTATTTGGGGAGACAGAAAACAAGTAGCCCAATGTAAATAGCTTCTCATTCGTAAACCCGGTGAAAAGAAAAGCTATCCTGTGCGTGCTTATAAGACCAAGGCTTGGTGCAATAAACAGGTTGCAGACGAAACCCCAAGGATAGCTGGCTCGAATCACCTCTGCCCTGCTTTTCCTCTAATAAGGGAGCTTCCAGCCATTCGGGCAGAGCGTAGCTCCCGCCCTTGAGGTGCCTCCAAGCGCCCCTCCTCGTGGGAAATGCAGGCACGGGATGCAGCCACTGAAGAAGCGATACTTCACTCCTCGTTGCATCTCTTGCCGGCACGAGTCACACCTGTTGAGCTTCTGCCTGTCGCGCATCACACCGACAGAAGCCTCATTCGATAGAGCCGAATGAGTTAAGATGCGAGTGGCAACAACTCATCTCCCCCAAGGAGTCTGACGGTCCGCCCGGCTTGCAGGCTGACTTTCTTACCAAGCGGGCGGGGTGCTGAAGGGCGCGCGCAACCTCCCGCGCGCACAGACCAGGCGGCGGAGGCTACTCCGGAACATCCCGAGCGCGCGGCGACCAGCACGGAAGAGTCTAGTTAGACGCGCGTCTGGCACCCCCAGTTAGGAGGCATGATGGCTGCTGGGAGCTGTAGTTTCCCGCGAGAGAGCAAATGCCGCATAGCGCCACCCCTTTTCCCTGTTAAACAAGGAACACCCACCCACCCGAGGAACAGAACAGCCATTGATTGAAGTACAAATTCGCGGGAGGCGGGCCCCAAGAGCAACACGTCAGCTTACGTTAACGCATGCGCGCTTCCCTCGCTCTTTGCCTTGGCGTTCGCTCTCTGCCCTCTCGTGAAGATGGCTTCGCGCGCGGGACCTCGAGCCGCGGGAACCGACGGCAGCGACTTCCGGCACCGGGAGCGCGTGGCCGAGCATTACCAAATGAGGTGGGGGTGGGGTCGCGCTCATGCACCCAGTTAGGGAGCCAAATCGGTTTTGGTTTTTTGGTTTTGTTTGCATGTTGCAGCATCGGGAGCTGCTGCTGCTGCCGCCCTCCTGCCTCCCTTGTCTGCTCCGTGCTCTGCAACCGACTCGACAGGACGATTGTCGTTCGCTGCGCCTACCGTTTATTGAATCGGTGGCTTCCTTTAAAATGAGAGTTAGTGCATTTTCCGCTCCTCCCCCTATATATTCCCCAGAGGAAAAGGCGGGGATAGCATGCTGCTCGATTGCATTTGAATGATGATGTTAAACATTGTGCTCATTTCTCCTTGGTGGCTTGTTGTCCTCTACGTCAGGGTTAGGGTTGTGTGGACTTCAAGCCATGCTTGAGTTCTGGTGTTTTTGTAGAAGTGTCCATGTAATTTTTTGGCAGGAATACCTTCTCCCAGAATGTGTTTTCAGCTTCCCAGGTTAGCCTTCAGCTATAATATTCTCTGGAGATCTCTCATCCAACTATTAATGAGGCCCAACCTTGCTTAGCTCCCAAGCCTGGTAGAGCCACTGGTTGAGACCTCCTAGAGCAGTGTTTCTCAACCCCGGCAACTTTAAGACCCATGGACTTCAACTCCCAAAATTTCCCAGCCAGCATGGCTGGCTGAGGAATTCTGGGAGTTGAAGTCCATGGGTCTTAAAGTTGCCGGGGTTGAGAAACACTGAGCTAGCTGATCCTGGTTGAGCTTGAAACAGCTAAACAGGGTTAGTGTTTGAGTGGGAAACCACCAGGACCTCTCTGGTCTGTAGAGTAGCCTGGGAAGTTGAAAAGCTCCCTAGAAGAAACAGTATTCCCCAATTATTGCCCAGATGG